TCTTGGTCTGCAATGGCATCCACAGGCTCGCCGACGGCAGTGCAGATGATGACTTGCTGGTGTTCCACTTCATCCCGTTGCCCGAGGAATGTACCATCATACCTGACCGGCGGAGCGAGGCCGAGCACTCACGCTCCATGTCCCTTGTGGATCCTCAGCATATGGTTTTCGTCTGCATGGACGACAGGGCAATGCTCACGACATGGAGACTCAGGTTTCCCCTGACCCAGGACTGGTTCTGGGAGAAGGGGCCATCCTTGTGCATCCCAGACTTGTTGGACAGACTTCCAATCGCCAAGGGTGACCCGAAGCTGCAGCGACGACTCACGCCCAGGTGTCCTGTCATCAGCTGGAAGCAACCAGATGTCATCTACATCTTCGTTACCGAGTTTGAGTACAAGGATGAGCATGACAAGTGGGAAATCCAAGGATATTATGAGTTCCCCGCCAACATTCAAAGTGGACTAAACCTCTCTGTGTTCGAATTCCCAAGCCAACCTTTTCCTCACGCACGCATCTGCGCTACCCACATGAGAGCTACTTCCTAGAGAAGAAGATGGTATGACCTCCATCTGTTATTGTAAATAAATTGTATAATTTTGATATGACAATGCCTTCAAAATTAGATTTAATCTGTAGTACGTTTCTGTTATAGTTTTTTGTCAATCGGTAGAAAATTGGCATAATATTAGAAGCACGTTGAAATTATACAAGCGCAGTGCATATAATTTGCTTGTGAAATTAGACTTCTTCAAACTGAAACACAACTTATAAAAGTGTACAGTTCCAGCCTTTTCTATCTTTATATGACAATGCCTTCAAAACTAGATTTGATCTGTAGTTTCTGTTATGTTTTATTGTCAATTGGTAGAAGATTGACATAACATTAGAAGCACGTTGAAATTATACTAGTGCGGCGGATATAATCTGCTTGTGAAATTAGACTTCTTCAAACTGAAACACAACTTATAAAAGTGTACAGTTCCAACCTTTCTTTCTTACCACGTACTCTAGTAGTTACTAGTTTTTTGTCTGAACTAGTTAGACAAATTTGTTGGAATCCTTGCTAATGGGGAAGAACCAACTGGTGCAGTCAAGTAACTCTAGAAAGTGTTACTTTCATGATGGTGACGGGAAAGATGCAAGCATATCCACAGTTCTATTGGCTGCTTGGGCAATATTTTCCATCAGTTTTGTTACTGTTTTATTTCAGCTTTATTTAGCAGCTGCAGTTGCAAAAAATTGTAAAATAAAAAGAAGCCAATCCTGAAAATTAAAGAGCATGAGAATTTTGCTAGAGTAGCACATACATAACTAACAAGTGTAGGACTTTTTGGATTTGTGATCATCCATCTCATCGTTAAATGAGAATTTTGCTAGAGTAGAACAGACATACTCCCTCCGTTCTAAATTATAAGACGTTCTAATTTTTTTAAGACTCAAAGCATCTCAAGTTTGACCAAACTTGTAGGAAGAATTATAAAGATTTATGACATCAAATAGGTACTATGAAAATATAATTAATGAAGAATCTAATGATGCTTAGTTGGTATCATAAATGTTATTATTTTATCATATAAATTTGGTTAAACTTCAGATACTGACTCTCCAAGAATATTAGAATGACTTATAATTTGGGATGGAGAGAGTAACTGACAAGTATAAGATTTTTAGCATCGGAGTGATCATCCATGTCATTGTTACAGCTGCACTTCGCCCCTTTTATTTTTTTCTACTTCATATTGTTCTAACTTTTCTGTTTTGTGAATCCTGTTTCCTCTAGAGGAAGTTGCAGATGGGTGAAGAAGTGTTTGATGAGGGAGAATCAAATCAAATATCAGCTCAGGATTGAGGACTCAACACCTACATTGGCCCTGTTCGCTTCTCTTATAATCCGTACTTTTCAGCTGGAACAGTGTTTTTCTCTCACAACAAATCAGCTGAAAACAGTGTTTCACTTGTTTTTTCAGCGAAGCGAACGAGGCCATTATCGTGGGATACCAATTCCTTATCCACCGCCCATTGGAGTTTCGTCAGGTGGCAAGGAAATTCCCGTGGGATTCCAATGTGTGCTGGATTGTCGCGACAAATAGGCTTCATAGTTAACTAGCAGGTTGCCTGTGCGTTGCAATGGAAGAAGAAAAAATTATATTTTTAGTTTTCAGAATATCATGAGTAGACGTTAATTATATATTTTTAAGAGAATTTCTTGTTTCATCCAATAAACATTTATTCAGATTTATGGACCATTTTTTTTTACATTTTATTGTGAACGAGTAAATATGCCCGTGCGGATGATTTCTTTAGCTTGGATGACATTATGTGCAATGACTAGTATAGTAGGCAGATAATGGCGTCCTCAATGGCTCCGTTCGCTTCGCTAAAAAAAAAAGATGAAATACTGTTCCGGCTAATTTGTTGGGAGAGAAAAACACTGTTTCGACTAAAAAAATAAGTTAAAAAGTACGGATTGGATTATAAGAGAAGCGAACGGACGAGAAAAACAGATCGCTAGGCGAGTGGGAATAAACAAATAAAAAAATATCGGTCCAACAACATAGACAGGAGTGGGCCACCAAGCTAGAGATTCAAAAAAATCACCGGGACACGTGCGAGCTGGGCGACGAACTCGTCGCCAGCAACCAAACTTTCTGGTGGTCTCTCTCCTCCAGCTAATCTAATAGCTAGTTGCTGGTATTAAAATCGGCTGATAAGTTGACTGAAGTTGTTTTATTATGAGAAAAAAATACTATAGATTTTAACTGATAAATCGGCTGATAAATTCAAACGAACAGGCCATCTATGAGTTCCTTATTGGGACGCCCTAAGAGGCTTTAACATATTATATTAGTGGCACAGAAATTGGTGCCTGCCTGTTATGTTTTTAGTTTTCACTCATATTTGTTTTTTTAGAACCCTTTCCCTCTTAATTGCTGTTGTCCGCACATGAAGCGGCACTGCTTGCATTTTGAGAGACCTTGTTGTGCTGGACTTTTGGATGTACAGTTGGTTTCTGAATCTTGCTGCTGGCAGTCGCTACGTTTTGTTTTGGACCAGACTTTCTGTGTGCTATTACTGTACTACAACGAGCAGCACCGCTATCTCTCCAGTGTTAAGAATCTGGGCAGCAAGATTTGGATAAGAAAACTCGCCATCAGCTGCTTGTTGGAATTTCAAAAGTAACACCGGACAACAAAATACAAGACAACTTCATTTCCTATTACGGTAATAACACAGTCTCAAAAATAATCCCAGTTTCTTGATTGATCAGAATGCTGCTGTGTTGTTCTAGGACGCTTATCTGAATTCAGTTCTCGGTTACGGTACCCTCTTTAGGAGATTCACAAATGCCGGATCCATACATACAACAGCCGGTGCCCCTCAGATCAGTAGCCTTTGAGCTGGCCACCCAGTCCGGCTAACGCAATCCATTTCTCCAACGCCGTCGCAGAAAACACGAACGCCGACTTGGAGGATTCAGCGTCGAGCTTATTCACTGAAACCAGAGGATCCATGAAACCTGTCAGATTCATTCATACTGGCACAAAAGCATGGATGGATCACTGGAAGATGAAAAGTTCAGAAAAGAGCCGTAGGCCTTCTGCACATGTACTACCTGATGTAAACAATGTGGCCAGTGAGCTGTTGAAGCTGTCAACCACGCTCCTCTCCTCTGGGCTTGAGCTGAACTGTTGTTATAAACACACAGGTCGAAACAGATGAAAAAGAATGTAGGTCTAGAAGAGAAGCAACTGAGCTAGTAAAGTAAGAATGGGCTTGAGAGGAAGAACCTTGGAGAACGCTGCATTGATGTTCTGCACCCAATGGGCATCTGAACTTGGTCCCAGCACGCTGCTTGCGGCTGGGAGATCATCCTTGTCAATGGCCTGCCCAACTTTGCTCAGCTTGTAGATGAGGTCCTGCAAATATCCTGTGGTTTTTGTAGATCAAACTACAGCATTGTTACTGCTGGAGCAAAGCTTCAGAGATCTTCTTGTTTCATCGTAAATAAAGGGAGAGAAAGAAAAACAGCAACTGCATGATCTGATGAAGCAGAGTGTGTGCTGACTGAATAAGACTGACCGGTCTCGGTGCCAGAGGAGCTGATGATGCCCTGCTTCTCCAGCCGCTTCTTCCTGTCCTCCTTCATGCGCTCCAGGAGCTCGATGTCGTCGTCCTCCTCGAGGACAAGGGCTCGCGCGGCGCGGTCAGCGGCGAGCGGGGAGAACGAGGCAGCGAGGGCGGCGAGCGCGCACGACGCGAGGCCGCGCCGCCGGCCGACGACGACGGCGGCCTCACGCCGGTGGTCCTGGGTACCGCCGCTGCTGACGCCTCTGGACGACACGGCTCTCTTCTTGGTCTTCCCTCCTGCTGCTGCAGCAGAAGGATGCTGCTGCACCGGCAACTCCTGCACCACCGCCGCCGCCTTGGACGCCGGGCCGCATCCGGCGAGCGCCCATGCCTCGGCGACAATGGACACCATCGTGTGATCGGCACAGGAAGCAGCAGCAGCCGCAGCAAAAGGCAAGATGGAAGAAGCAGGCGCTAGGGGCTGTGGACAAAAAACACCAAGGAAAGGAAGGAACTAGCATGCAGCGCTGGCCCAACGAAAGAGTCCCCTTATCCTCCCACTTTCTTGTTTCGGCCGTCACAGCCACATAAAAGTTAGCTTGGTTAGCTCAGAGGCAACAGACAAGCACTGAACACTGAACAACATCAGGGTCTTAGTTGGCAGGTATTTGTCAATTAATTACTGTCATACATACAAACATAAACAATCTCCTTGCAAATAGATAACTATAGTAACTAACTCCATCAATAATATGAATATAATCACTGTGTTTGAATTTCATGTGTACAATATATAGCCTGTGTTCTTAGGTGCGGATGAATTATGCACAGACACACTAGCCTTGTAATATGGCTAGGATGCACCCAAGGAGAAAAGTGAAACAAAAGGAGATAAAAGAGGGCCAAACAAGAGGCACATATATGATATATCACCAGAACCAGCTCCTGCGGCTGTCCACAGCCTTGACTGTGGTGGCTACGAGGGGCATATGGCCGTACATGGCAGCGAACGCATTGAGACATCTTGATCTCTGCAAGCCATGGCCTTTCAAACTGCTGATGCCACTCGACCCAATCTCAAATATCCTTCCTGCGGTGATATCAAGGACATGGATGTGAGAAATATACTCCTGAATGAAACCAATAACAGGTTGGATAGCATATAGCGGTGGAGCCAGAAACGCGAATTTTGTTAGAGGGAGGGGACACCAGTGCAAATTTCATAAAAAAATGATCCAATTTAAAAAAATTCAATGGAAATTACACTAACTTAGGGGTCCCCCCTCCCTCGCCGCCTTCCCTCCGCCACTGATAGCATATGTGCTATCTGCTATCTCAATAGTCAATATGGCTAGTTGTTCTGTTTCTATGTTGATGCCAAACCAATCCTTTTTTTTTTGGCAGAGGATTATTCAATTGCTACACAAGGTTGCTGTCAATTCAAGTAGCGGCCAAGCAGAAAAAGACCAAGGAAGTTTCAGATAAGCTACAGTAACTTCCTTATGCTGGAAGCTGGGAAGTTCAGGAAATTATGAAAGTGACAGTGACTTCATCAATTGTTAAATTTCACTACAGCCAAGCAACAACTCATGTGGTCAAGCAATATAAAAACTACATAGTCCTCCTAATTGTAAGTAAAATAGTATGAAAGGTCATTGTCCCTCTGAATCCAAACGAAGGATAAGGTCCCAAGATCCTACAGTGGCTGATAAACTTTGTCACGGGCAAACAACAAAAAAAGACTAACACAGACTATCTAACTATGTTTTAACTAATATCCATTAACTTAAACACACTCTCCAAAGATGAAATTTATCGATGCAAGAAGTAGACAAATTCAGCTAATTCGGCAACTCTCTTGCCGTTTTTCAAGAAAAAAAAACTTTACTTCTTGATGAAAAGGGCGCTCAGTGCTCACTGACCTTGCACCCATACAGGTGGAGCTCCAGTAGCATTTGCAACAAGAAAAGCCATTGCAATATCCTCACAGTTCCTGCCAAGCGTTAGCATAGCGAAAGAGTAAGATCCATGGAGTGCTACACTACACATGCCAATCCCTGACAGCACCATAATAACATAGGCCCCAATAACATAACCGAAGGCAATTTTCTAGAAATGGTGAACCAGAGAGGTAGGAGTTGCACCTGTTTTCATTCACATATTTGCGAATGGACGGTAGCATTTGGTTGGTATACATATCCAAGTACTTCTTGTGGAAGAAACTCGCTTTGGAAAGAACCATGCTGTATGTCCCTGTCCACCAAACTGACCACCAGCTTCCATATCGGTATTCCTCTTCACTGCCTCTCTGCAGAAGAAACAACTCCAGTTAAGAATTGCTCCTTTTTTAACATATATCCTTCATATGTCCATGCAAACTTCAAACTTATTCCTATTTAATTTGTGTCAAACCAACAATTCAAATTTGAACATAGACCTACGAGCAGGCACTTTCAAATTCAGACAAAACAAATTTCTCGTGTTGGAATACAAATCCAATATGACGTACTCGCTTGTAACTACACCAACCAATCGATTCAAAACATACCGGGTTGGTAAGCCAGTGCATCCGCGGCACGAAGCCGACCATGGCGGAGGGCGCGCTCTGCCACACAGAAAGGCGAAGCGCAGCGTGGAGCAAGGGACGATGAGGTCGTCGTCGACGGAGAAGACGGCGTCCGCCACGAGCCCGCGGATGGGCCTGAACCTGTTGTTGAGGCTGTCGGCGTCGTTGATCTCGAAACGCACGCCCGCGCCGCCGCGCCGGGTGCCGTTGAGGCCGAGGACGCCCCCGCGCAGGGTCTCCGGCGGCAGCGGCCGCGGCTCGCTCCACACCACGTGGACGGCGTCGACGCCCCCGCAGGCGGAATAGTGCGCCACCGACCTCCGCAGCAGCGCCGGGCGCCTCCACGTGTTGATCACCACAGCGAAGCCATCGCTGCGGAGACGGCGGGCGTTGGAAATGGAACGGGAGAACGCGGGTGAGTGACAGACTGACTGCTGGATTGGCTAGCAGTGGAGTGCAGGTGCAGCATGGAAGCGGGGCGGGGTGAAGTTGGCCATGGTGGGAACGAGATGCTTACCGTGGCGAGATGGCGGCGGCGGAGGAGGAAGGGTAGGCGGGGCCGAGACGATGATTCTGGAGCGTGAGCGCCAGCGCGAGCGTGGTGGCGGCGGCCGCGAGGGCGAGGAGGCAGAGGGCGCGGCAGGGGGGCACGAATCTGGTGGCGGCGGGCGCGTAGCGTGGCGCGAGCGGGTGGCGGCGGCCGGGACCGGGACCGGGGCCGTGCCTCCTGTCCGCCGCCGCCACTGCCTGCAGCTTGAGCAGCAGCTTGGCCATCCGCGGCATGGGCACTGGCTGGCGAGGCGGCGAGCAGAGGCAGAGCAAGCAAGCCGCCACGACCCCTCTGCGTGGCCTCTCCCGGTTGGCTCTGGCTGGCCTGGACCCTGGGGGTGGCACGGAGCCACGGACGGACTACGGCGCAGCTACGGGCTCGGGTGTGACAGAGCGGGCGTGCGAGGGGGTTCTGGAAGAAGCGGGGGAGGGAAGGGAGGCAGGCAGCCAGGCACCTGAGCTATCTCGTCGGCTCGCCAGCCGGCCGATGCGCTAGTTAGCTCCTTTTGAAATGTGGGAGGGAAGGAGAGGAAGAGAAGTTGAAGAAGCTTCTTGGTGCGGTACGGCGGCTACCGGGCAGCCAGCAATGCGATGCGATGGATGGCGATGGCGATGGCGATGGCGATGGCGGATGCAGTTGGGGGTGGCCAGCCCCGGCCCGGTGGAGACTGGAGACTGGGAGCCGGCCGGGCCCTATTCGGGCACGCTGCAAACGAACAGGGCTAGTCCGGGCTGGGAGCGACCGGTGGAGGCTGGAGGGAAGGCTGTGCAACGTATACTCCGTACTAGTCTACAGGTGTGGTGAAGTGAAGTGAAGTGAAGTGAAGTGAAGTGAAGTGAAGTGAAATGCACAGGTACCTTCCGAAAGTTGACGGGTACTCATGTAGTTACTGTGGGTGATTATCTTATGACAAACTGTTTACTGTCACATGGAATGGAGGTCATGGAGACGGTAAATAGTAAAAGACCAAGCGCATGTTTGATCCTATAGCTAACAGGTAGATACTCAGGGCCAGTTTAGGGCTGCGTTGGGTAGAAATTCAGATTCTTGTATAAACATTTCGGATCAGAATTCTCTTAAGAAACGTTTCAAACGATGAATCAGAATCGCTTTGTGAGATCTTTTGACTGGAGGGCTAGATTATGATTCCTAAAGAAATTCTTTTTTATATAAAAAATAATATAAATAAAAACATGCTTAAAAAATTAGAACTTTTTGTGGGTGAAGATCTACTTAAATACGATTCATTTTGGTTTGTTGAACTTAGAAAGGAAAATGAAAAAAAAATACAATTGCTAATAAAGAGAAGAGGGAGGAAACTGAATCGATCAAAACTACTCCTTGGCCGTTTCACCAGCGTAGTGTAAAAAATGAGAATCGTTTCGTTTCTGGAACGAAATGATGCGCCTTATTTCGTTTGGCACCGATTCCCGGGTTTCACAGCAGAATTTGAAATGTGGGCCCCGTTCGGCTTTATCTTATAATCCACACTATTCAACTTGTTTTTTTTTTCAGCTGGAACAATATTTTTCTCTCACAACAATTTAGCCAGAACAGTATTTTCAGCTAATTCAGCCAAGTTTCAGCAAGCCAAACCGGACCGTTCCTGCTTGCCAAACGCGCCCTTAGCTACCAGTGCCAACTTGCCTATGCGTGGCCTCACCTTGCCCTGTCAGCGCAAGCAACGAGAAGCTTGCTCTTTTCGGCGAGCCATTTTGGATCTTCCAAAAGCAAAAGAAATCTCGCTAGCACAAACCTCGAGATAGGAAGGCAAGAAAACCAAACAGCTAGACTCGCTTAGATATCTCCGCAGCAAGGTAGCACAATGGTAGACAAAGAAACCAAATGCGCCCTCCGTGCTTTCTCCGGTTAACATAACTAATAGTTAGCTAAGGGAGTTAGCTGTTAAAAGTTAGCTGAGATCCAACCGTTTGGATCCTTAATTAATAGGTTAGTCAATGTCCTATATGTCGCCTAGCTAAAAAGATAGTTATCAACTTGTATATTCTAGCTAACACAATTATGGATGATATCAAACCGGGGCATCAAGACTCCCCTGCCTTAGTTTTGGACGAGGTCTTGGACATTCTTTATTTTAAATCACTATAGATACCTTCCTACTGAATGAACTCTTTGTGAAGCTATGTTATCTTAAATGACATGTTTGGTTATTTATTATTACTAACTTTATCTACTATGATTAGCTTAGAGAAAATATGGCTTGCAATAGAGAAAAGTCCTTACAACTGGACCGAAGTTACTGTGAAAATCTTCTATTACGGCCTTGTTTAGATACCCTCAAAATTCCAAGTTTTTTCACTCTCTCTCCATCACATCAATTTTTAGCCGTTTGCATGGAGCATTAAATGTAGGTAAAAAAAATAACTAATTGCACAGTTTAGTTGAAAATCACGAGATGAATCTTTTGAGCTTAGTTGGTCCACGATTAGACAATATTGACCAAATAAGACGAAAGAGCTACTATTCATCGAGTTGAAATTTTTTTCAATCTAAATAAGGCCTACATTGCATCGCGTGTAGGTCAGGATGGTAGCAAAGTGTGCAGGGGCGGAGCTAAGATTAAATTTGATTTGAGGGTTTACAAGCACTTTGCTTAAGCAGCTAGAGTAAAAGGGGTCTAATTTTCCTTGTATTGCAAACTTTGAGTGGGGGCTGGGCCCTCACTCGCTTTATGCTGAGTCCACTCAAAGTGTGTCTTGCTACAGTTGCGATGACCAACTAACTTAAAAAAAAAACTTAACAACCGGCAAGAAAATATGACGTGATGGCTAACGACTAACAACAAGGTATACACCGTTGAAAGCAGGCTGTAAGAGACTGATTCTTTTCAATAAAACCAATTAATCAATTATATTAATTGCATTAGCGTAATATTGAAACTTACACCCTTCATTCCAAATTGTAATTTGGTTTGATTTTTCAGATACGTAATATACATTGTCTAGATATTACACAGTAAAAGTTACGAAAACCCCAAAAAAAACCTAGTACAATATAGAACGAAGAGAGGTAATAGAATTTTGCAAATGAAAAAGGATAAGCCTGCTTTTGTGACCACTCACCACGTTCTCCCACCTGCTTTTACAAGAACGAGTTTTGTGGGGTAACTGGCCCCGTTCGGCTTGCTGAAACTTGTCTGAAATTGGCTGAAAAATATTGTTCTGGCTGAATTATTGTGAGAGAAAAATACTGTTCCGACTGAAAAAACAAGCTGAATAATGCAGATTATAAGATAAATTGAACCGGGCCTATAGCTAGGACACCGCAAATTAAACATGACCTAAGTTTGGTGTACCGCCATAATTTTTGGCGTCTCAGTTTTTCCACGATAGTCACTGTCAGGACAGGAATGAAAACCGTCTTGACGTGACGCTTCCTCCAAAAGAAAAAAAAAGAGAAAGAGGTAAGGCCAACAGGTTGGCCTCGTTCGTTTGTCTTAAATTTAGTTTGTTTGGCTTATTTTTTTAATCGAAACAATATTTTTCTCTCACAACAATTTAGCCGGAACAGTGTTTTCAGCCAGTTTCAGCCATGCCTCTCGGTACGGATGGCACTGACCATGGCAGTGCGACCACCGCTGCCTTTTCGAGTACTGCTACAGTCGTAGATTTGTCATCATTTCCTAACTTTGACAGCATAAATACTGCTCGAGTTTTCAAGAAGTATATATATATATACTCCCATAACCCACAATACAAAAGTATTTATGTTTGTAATGCTATTTTTTCTCGTCAAAGTAAAATACAAAGCGTGAGCTCGTCAAAGTAAATCATCTCCTGCCACGTGCCGCCGGTGCTTCTGCTCTTGTTTCATCGCGATGTGCACGCATCAATGCACAGAGTGTGGTGTGACTTGAGAGTGTGAGGCCCGCCCCAAAATAAAATAGCCAGCTTTATCACTAGTTGTTCCCCCTTCTTTTCACAAAGCATCGGGGCAGCTACTTTTCTTGATGCCAACATTTTCTAATCCATCGGTGGCTGCAATAGTATAGTATAAAGGGCGTGATTTGTTGGGTGTGTTTTTATGCCGGACTCTTTTTTTGACGAAATTTTATGCCAGACTCTCGGCATGCAAAATCTTTTTTTTTTTGAGGAAAATGCAAAATCTTTATAAAAGCCTGTGTTTAAATGGTTCTTTCCTTCTTCGGGCCTGGCCGAACTCATCCAACCTAGAAGCGGGATAGAGGTGGGTGGTAATAATGTTACCACATGAACATGCAAAGTAATCATATCAATTTCGTGCGGTCATCCTTTATTCGGTTAATCACTAATCTAATGGAACTGAGGGGAGATTTTATCTCTTACAAGTTAAAATGTTTATCGATCCCTTTTAATCTTTTCGGACTGAGGATTAACCGAAACCCATACACTAATGCTTATGTAGGACGTTCGGACGACTGGACGCTGTCTCCTTGGGCCTGTGCAGCGGACCAGTCTAACAGGCAACCGGCCTGCTCCCATACTCCCCCATCTCTGCGACCGATAACTTCCTCACTCTGCTTGTCGTAGTGTTCACCGCGCCGTTCGCCCCTCCGCCTCCCCGTCACGGCGTCCACTCGTGACCGTGCCAAGCGGCGCGAAATCCAGGCTGCGCCATAGATCCCCTCCCATCCAATCTTCCTGCTCCAGCACCCGCTCGCCCTCTGCGTCATCATCGCTGTCGCGCCTTACCTCATCCACCGAAGCGACCTATTGCGGCCTACTCCTGCCGCTGCTCCGCGTGCCCACCCTGCTGCTCCTGCCACTGCTCCTACTCCGCTGCCTGCCCCTGCCGACGACCCCGACAGGCGCCACCAGCGCAAGGAGAAGCCCCGGGCCCTGGCATGGAAGCCCATCCGACCTCGCCTCCTACTACGGCCGCGGCACCGGGATATGATACATGTTGCAAGTGTACATTTCAAAGGTTTCAGATGTTTTAGAGATATGTTTCAAGTGTTTCACACAGATGTTGCAAAAAGTAGATCGGGATGTTGCATATGTTGCAATGGTTGTACACTTATGTTGCAAGCGTGTTTCCTCAATGTTTCATCTGTTTTTTCGACGTATGTTGCAAGCGTGTTTATCTGGATGTTGCATATATTTCACACATATGTTGCAAGTGTTTTATCTGAATGGTGCGTATGTTTGCAATGGCAATGCATGTTTCTAAGTGTTTTATCTGTCTATTTTTTTTGTACGTTGCAAGTGTTGTATCTGGATGTTTCAAAAGTAAA